ATTTTAGCCTCAAATTCACTTCTGATTTCTTTTGTAGATTCGTCCTCATTAGCTGTAGTACCCAGAATTTGCTCATCCAATGTAGAGAGTGAACCATGTCGCACCATGTTCACCAACCTCTTCATATTCCATGCCGAAATGTTCTTATGGTTAAGTTTATGCAAGTGATAGATTGTGATCCCAACATCCGCCACGCTCTTCTTCGATAATGCTCCAGACAATTTGCCACTTTTAGTATGCCTCGAACTTCTCCCTATCACTCTCCCACTCTTGCCTAACGCGTCATCTCTAAGATCAGGAGGCAAAACCGCCCCGGCGTTTTGTAACTTATGAACCTCGGCTGCAGTTCTCTCCACATCTTCCTCAACTCTTTGAATTCCAATCAATGGTGGACCGGAGAGCGTTTCGATTACATATTGATTAAACAACGACTCTTGAATCCTATCAAAATATGTGCTCACATGGAAGGACGAAGCAAGAACCTTAACCATTAACGTTTTCACTAGCCAAAATAAAGTACCAATCAAAAGACACACCAGGATTTTGGTGATGAATTCGAGAAACTGGCTTTCGGTCTCCCTCTCAACTTTCCTATCAAATAGTCTATCCCAAGCGATTAACACAAGTCCTAACCATAAACAATTTTGCACTGGTTTTCTAACCCCATAAACAAAATACAAAAGCCTTTTACGTAGAAAAAAATTTCTTTCAATAAAGAACACTACTATACGAATCCCCCAACCAGAAAGTAATCTACCACAGATCAAAACTAGTACCATCAATTCCCATTTCCATAACTCAAGATTCCACACGGTCTTTTTCTTCAAATATGGAATCGATAGACTACAAATCAAGAGAGCAACAATTATAAACAAACTCACCCATTGAAGCAAAGTGATTGCACTCAGATTAGCCTTTGTGTATTCCTCAGGCAAGTCCTCACTCCATAACGGGTCCTCATCGTCATCAGGTCCGATCTTCTGTAACATCCCGGATTTTAATTGACCCGACCTCTGTGATATCAGCTCAATCTCTTCTTGTGGTGGATCTTGAAGCCGTGATCTTGTCTTTATCTTCACCAACAAACTAGGATTTTTCTGAAACGAAATGTTTCTCTTATTAAACGATGCATTAGCGGTGCACCTCAAAACCTCTTCTTTACGGAGCTCTCCCGGACTGTAATTATAATAACCTTGTTGTTCCTTTTGGGAGATGGTGTTCGGGTCTCCTTCCGGGGAGTCCTTGTATCGTCTCCTCACTGATTCTCTATCCACCGTATTCGGACCAAACGAAACCCGGAGGTCTCTCGCCTGATCTTGATTAATATTATTCATCTGTTCAAGCACCTCCATTTCCAAGTCCATGTCCAGTGCAATCTCGTCTTGCGTCTTCTGTTTATTCAAAAACTGACCGATTAATCTCGACGGATCCTCCCCGCGTTGACTCATACCTTCAAAGCTCTCCCCCTTCACGTTCTTGTTATAATTATTAATATTATTTCTATTACAACTACTGTCTTGACGATCTTGATCTTCTTGCCAAACCTCGTAACCGCTACTATTCACATCATCAGTGGCTGAATCATTACCGTCCATTCTGATGACAACATCTGGATGACGGTCTGAGAGTCCTTGATCAAGGAGAATGGAGAATTCTTCATGGCTGGAGGAATTACTATCAGGTCCAGCGGCGGAGATCTTTCGCATGTGCTTGTAAGAAGAGGCGTTTGATTTGAATGATTTCTTGAGGGAGAAATCCATGTTATTTATATATATATTACATGAGAAGTGTACGTAGGAAATGGGAAGTGAAGTGAGTGATGGAGGAGGTGTTTGGAAGCTAAGAAAAGAAAGGAAAAGAATAGTAAATATGAAAGAAAGTTCTTATTGGGTTTTTGCTAGTGAAGATTTGTTCTATATGATAAATTAAATGTGTGATGAAGTAGCAAAACTGGAGTAGATTCAGGGCCAGAAGTGGAGAGTTTTGCAACAAATTAAACTAAAATAACATGTGGCGTAGAAGGGGAGAGAGATTACGAGAGAAGTGCATGGTTGAATAGGGTTTATAGAATAAATTCAGCTCATATGGACGTAAATACCCTTCATATATTTGTTTATCTACAATAATGCCACTCATTTTGCCTACTGTACATGATATTTTATAAAACCACAAATCTAAGTAGGAGTGAAATTGGCTTAATTGAAACTATAAATATGATTTTATATATATTATTATAAGCTGTCAAAATTAAGAGAGCAAGAGAGATAATTTGAAGAAAGTCAGAATATGTCCGAGAGATATCTTTGAGAGGATAAAAGAGATAATTGAAAGATAAGAGTATGATCGAGAAATATATTTATATGAATTCAATTATATGTTATTAAATTATTTGTTAACTGTAAATACATCACTTACTTATACAAAAATTAAACTATATAATAGGAAAAACATAATATTGTAATAATATCTAAATTATTTTAGAATAAGAAAACATAATATTTGTTTCACAATTAAGTCAACATATTATTATTTGCATTCCATTTTGCACTTCAACATAATCATTATTTTTTTAGCTTTTCCCATTTTACTTGAACTCCAATTTGTAAAATGAATAGAATGGTGATTAGGGTTTCTATAACAAGAAATTTGTTGATTAGTAGCGATGTTTCCAGAGTTAACACAGCATAAAACAAAATTGTGGTCTTCAATCTTAGAAGTTGGAACTCTCCACTTTTGATATTATAATCAACAATGTTAACGAGAAGGGGTATAACTGGAGTCTTACACCATGTCAACTTGAGCCTCGATAACTAGTAGTAACAGAAAATACATGTTTCTCTTTTTTGTGATTTTTCTCACCATTGAGAAGTACGCGAGCCTTTGAGGGAGTTCGTGCAAAGGTCTACTAGAGATCGAGAAATATGATGTTGAACCTATAAGCAATAATAACAATAATGCAAATAAATAAATAAAAGAGTAGATGAAAGAAATTTTTAAAGTGGTTCAGATAAAATGCAGATTCTACGTCTATTATTATGTTATTGGTATATTTACAAAAGCTATTTGCTCTCAAGGGTGATAATTACTCTTAGCTATTGTGAGAAATGAAAATATAGATACATTCTTTAGGGTGAAAGACCCCTATTTATATTGTTGCAAAGTGGTCTTGCTAATGAAGTAACGCTCTTATCGCATAACACTTGACCTAACAAATCACCATGCAACCTACGACAATCTTACAAATGAAGTAACTCTTAAGCATAATATGCGATATGGACAGATGCATGGTCACAAAACACGTGACAAGAGCTCATGCTTCAATTGCTTAGTCATGAGACAAGTGGTGTAGATTCATGCTTCCCGAATTTACCAAATAACACTCTCCGGCGGTGGTGGCCGCCTATCATTATTTATGAGTGGATTGAGGGTGTTTTGTTAATTTTGAATATTATATTTGGGATTGTTTAGTAAATAAATAAATATAAAGAGTATTTATGTTAATTTTTAAAATTCTACATCGTAATACCCATCTAATTTAACTTTTTTCAAAAGATTATTCTAAAAACTACCCAATAATGAACCAAACAGAGCCATGATGTTTTTCAAAATACTACTCCGAAAAAGGATTTTTAAGTAGCATGTACATAAATTTTATTATAATTAAGGCTCAAGTAAAAGTGTAAAACCCATATGGAGATTTGCTTCAATGACAAGTACAAATATGTAGACAGCAGCTAACAGATTAATTAAAGAAATGGAATTTGTAATAAATAGTAAGAACCTCTATCCACTATAAATAACTTGAAGGCCTCATGTGAGATATGTTAAGTTACATATAGCTCAAGCTCATCCATGTCAGTGTCCCTCACTACAACTTTACTTCCATCATGCGTTAATGTAAGAAAATGGTGGGTTAATAAATGAAGACACAACCCAAACAAAAAAATCGAACGACAAAAAACCTCTATCATCCGGGGAAAAAAAAACATACTGTACAGTGGTGCTGACAAAGAAGTTGATAAAAAGGACTACACAATTAAACTTATATCCAGCTCATTAACATAATCAGTATATCTCCAGTCAAATTCTCAGTGATGGTGGCCTCTTCGAAGGACCGACAGGAATCCCCCAGATGATTTCTCTTTCCGACGCTCCTGCTCCCCTTCTTCTCCAACCTATTTCAATAACTTAAATGTGAATCACAAGAATATTAAGAGTTTCATGAGGCGGAACATAAAAGTAAACCATATACAATAATATGGGATGAAAATATGTTTCTTTAAGGATAGTAGTAGTATAAGATAACAAGAAGATACCTCCTTAGCAATTTGCTGCAGAACCTCAATAATTTCAGAAAAGTCAGGTCTTAGAGCTGGATCTTGCTGCCAGCATTTTTCANTGGTGGCCTCTTCGAAGGACCGACAGGAATCCCCCAGATGATTTCTCTTTCCGACGCTCCTGCTCCCCTTCTTCTCCGACCTATTTCAATAACTTAAATGTGAATCACAAGAATAAATAGAGTTTCATGAGGCGGAACATAACAGCAAACCATATACAATAATATGGGATGAAAATATGTTTCTTTAAGGATAGTAGTAGTAATTTTGGTATATAAAATAACAAGAAGATACCTCCTTAGCAATTTGCTGCAGAACCTCAATAATTTCAGAAAAGTCAGGTCTTAGAGCTGGATCTTGCTGCCAGCATTTTTCAAGTAGCTCAGCTAGCTTTGGATGAGCGTTCTTTGGGATTGTAGGCCGTAGACCCTGTTAAACAAGTTAATGATAATAATATGTGACTTATTCTCACGTAATTGTAGTATAACCCTACAATAACTTTAGGAATCAAGTAGTCATTGATCTCAATCTTCCCATCACACATGCTAAAATATTTCTAACTAAGCATGGACAATTTAAATGGATACTAAGGGTGTGTTCACTATCATTTTCATTTTCGTTGTCATTTTTTCTATCTTTTTTTTCTCAATTTTATCTTGAAAAATGTGAATACTTGTTTGCTTATCATTTCGGTTTTTTAAAACAGAAAATAAGAAAAGCATTTATAACTAATAAATTAAAAATACACAAAACGTTAAATAAAAAAAATAAATAAATAAATAAAAAAAAGCAAATACAATACTAAAACAAAAACAAAAACAAATAAAGCTTCTTGAACAAATACTGTAGAATGAATGATGTACCTTTTGGACCACCCCAACAGCTGCCTGTAACGGAGTCAAGTATTCATATGGAAGCTGGCAGACAAAATATGATCATATAAATAAAGGGAGCAAACAAAAGAACAAAATGAAACTATGTAGAAGAAAAAAAAAACAAACAATACCTTTCCAGTCAGCAATTCCCACAATACAATTCCAAAACTAAAAACGTCAGCCTTGTGATCATATGGCTTGTGCTCAATAACCTTCAAGGCAAAGGATAGTTGTAAGAAAATGAAGAGATGAAAATGTGACGATGTACAATAATTACTCCAAAGCAACTGATAATAAGTATCAATGCATCCAAAATATCTATCTACAATTATTTTCTTTAAAAGAAATAGTATAGACAAGAAACCATTTTTGCTAAGCAAATTGATTAACTGAGTCATGGGAGAAAATTGGAGAGGGTGATAAAAGTAGAGTCAATATACTTCAAATTAAAGTATATTAATTTATTACCATTAAGGGCTTACCTCAGGAGCCATCCACCTATACGTCCCAGTTTCAGCAGTCATAACACCAGATTGAGCTTTCACTCTAGCAACACCAAAATCTGCTACCTTAACCACCTATAATGCAAATCATATGAAAATCTTTCTTAGCATGCCTCATCAAAAAGGTGGCAAAGAAAGAACACGAGCAAATGACAGTAACTAAAAATAAATACCATAGTACATGGAACATGTGGAAGAAATCTAGAAAAATAAACAGCACACGCTATAAGAATATAGACTTCCAACAACAATCAAAATCTGACACATGCAACATAAATTAATTACACCATACACAAGCCACTGTATGATTTTTACTTCACAGATCTCCAGCAAGTTCTAACCATAAATATTGCCATTAACAAGTAACAGCTCTTCCAAGATCAATTGGATTGACAAAGTATACAAAACGAATCAATAAAATAAATACAATTTTTCTTTTATACAAAAGAGAATGACACGGTGAAAGGCACAAAGATAAGCAACTTACTTCATTTTCATCCATCAAAAGATTGGCAGCCTTCAAATCCCTGTGTATTATATTGTTTTGGTGCAAGTAGTTCATTCCTTTGGAAACATCTATTGCTACTTTAATTAAGGATGGAAGCTTGAAAACACCCTTCTGCTTGTGCAGGTAATCATACACACTCCCACCAGACATAAATTCTGTTTCAAAAATGAATTAAAAGATTGAGAAAGAGAGACTAAGAAGATGAAGAGTAGGAAAAAACAAACTGAAATGGAATGGAAAAAAATTGAAAATCCAATGGGCTATACCTGTTACGATGCACAAGCTTGGGGGCTTGGTACATGCACCTATGAATTGTACAACATTCTTATGCCGCACCTTCCTACAAGTTCCAAAAGAAGTCGAAAAAGTAAAAGAAACAGAAAATTCCTACAAGAATCATCGCATATTATCTGGGAAAAGGAGATGGGAGTTACTTATAAAGGTAAAAGCATTCTTGTAAGTGGTACACTTAAAGAAAAACTCAAGAGGTGCTTAGAAAATATTAAGATCAACGATGGGAGGGTATTTCCTTTTCCTTTCTAGGGTATGAATTAAAAATGCAAGAGATGAGAGTTACTGCCAGACACATGAAAAGATGTTATACCCAAATGTCTTTCTTTTCTTTTGATAGGAACACCGAAGTGTAAAGCAGTTATTTTCATATTGACTAAACCTCTCATGTAGCGAGCAAAACCTCAAGGCACAGACAAAAATGGACCAACGGGTCGTAGATCAAACTACTTAAATAAAATGACAAAAAAGACCACTTATGTCTAAACCTCACAACCTCCATTAATGGAATTTCAACTTTATCAAGTGATCTGGCAGACCACAAGTAGAAACAAAACTTTAATTCACTGGAAATACTGCATAATAATGAAATGTTTATACTGTCATATTCCACATCCGTCCAACAAGGCAATAATCTAACAAATTACGTAAATTCTCAGCTGGTCACATTTTGATAATATTGTAAATCCAACAATAACATTCAAAGATGAAACCACTTTATAAACCAGAACTTATGAAAACTAATTCAGGCAATCATGTCAAAGAGAGCTTGATTTCTTAAAATAATCAATGTATATGACAAACCTCATGATATACACTTCCTGAGCAAATTCTTTCTGCAGATCTGAATTTATACGCTCAGGTTTAAGGACTTTAATGGCCACTTCCTGACTACAGTATGTACCTTTGTACCTAAAACAATTAATGCGGCTTAGTTAAGTGAGTAAACTAACATGATTAGTACACGTGAATTGTGAAAGAAGCAACAAACTTACAAATCACCATACGACCCAGATGCAACTTTGTTCCCAAACTTCAGATGTCTAGGATTGATTTCCCAAACATCAGTCCCATCATTAGGTATTTCCACATGTTCAGGATCACATTTCATCGGTATTTCCTCAGGCTCACTTGTGGGAGATGATGACCGATGACTGGACCAACCCTGCTTCTGCACAGCCACCAATATAAAAGTGAACTGAGAATGTACTAATCATAATATCATTGATAAGAGATGGGATAGAAAACCAATCAAAAGGATGATTTTAATCATTGTACTCCATTAACATGGAGATAAGATCATAACATGAACTAGATAGTATTTGTTGCTAGGATCCAACTTTCAAAAGGAATGGAGCAGAAGCATCAAAATTCATGTCAATGTTTCATTCAAATTCAAGACTTTCCAAATAGTATTTTAAATTTCACCTGCAAGGTATATCATCAAAAAATTCCATAAATTCCAACAGTGTGTACACAATTGAACATGGGAGTTGTCCAAAATAACCAAACAGATTAGATTGCAAAAGTTGACCAATGACTGAAAGTTGAATCCTTGACTGAAGAAAGCCTTGTTTTCATCTAGTTGGGATTCCTTACATAATGTTACTGGGGCCAGTTAAAGGATCACCCAAGTTAATTAATGTCCTTTTTCACTGCATTATTGTCCAAACAGATAACTCCTCAGGTTATTTCTTCTTAGGCGTCATAAACTGTAACTTTTTGATGAACATAAGTGCTGGCCATCCACCAAAGACAGTGCTCCTCCCTAACCAAACAATACATTCTGGTGACGCAAAGAAACCAATATGGCATTAAAATATTGAAAATAATGCGATATTGGTAACCATTTTGCAATGCACATTCAGGCCATAGGATATTTGTAAAATCTAATTCACAGACTGATATATCCTACAACCAAAAAATTAGAGGGCCAGTAAGCAACCAAACATTAAATAAATTTGGAATACAATATTCAACTTAGAAAACACAAACACCATAGGCCTATTTCAAGCCAGTTCAATGATAGAGGGTAAAATGCAAAAAAAGGATACGCAAAGTAAGAACAAAACCAGAAACTGTAAAATTAACACAACATAATTCGCTAAAATTAACACAACATAATTCGCAAAAGCATCGACAGGAATAAAAAAACCCAGCTCCAGAACATAGGATTTCAACAGATAATAGGCTACCTGACATTATGGGGTCTACTAAACATTCCAACAGATTTCACATTGTAACGACTTCAGAGCAATGATTTACCTCCATCTTAAAAACTTCCTTTTCCAATGCAACTCTAAGCTGCCCTGTCTCCTGCCAATTTCCAACAACAAGTCTGTCAAGCAGGTTCTAATAATAAACAAACTTATTTCTTGGATTTAGAAAGCTTTGGAGTTTAGCTGTTACGTATTAAGAAGCAAGCTCAACTTAGAGAAGTCCTAAACTGTGTAGGACATCTCCAGGTAACTTGTATGAAGATAGAATTAATAAATTCAGGTGGAAAAACAACATAATTTACGACCAATCAGAATAATTTTCCCTAAACAGAGGATTAAGGTACGGTCAAATTGAGGTGAAATAAGAATCCACTATACATAGTTAAGTAGCCCTTTTCATTTAAAATAGCCACATATAAAGCTATAAAATATGATGAAAGGCAAATATACCTCATATGGCCAACCATCAACTACGAAGACATCTAAGGAGAAACCATCAACCGTGGAAAAGGCATGTGCTTCTTGAATGTTTAGCCCAATATCAGCGAGTAAGGAAGTCAACTGAATTTCACACAAAGTAATGGCAATGCAGAGTAAGAAATTATAATTTTGTCAGAATAATCATCATTAGATTTAATATTTTAAAAGTAATTCATAGGTAAGCTGGAAGCCTTCAATGTTGAGTAATTCATATGTTTCTGTGACATCATAACTACTAGGTTACCAAACTTAATGACTCAAAGATGTTTTACTGCCCGTCAGTTTAACAGTTGAGCACACCAACACAGATGCACGCATGCATGCATGCACAGAAGAAAAAATGTATTAGAATGTAGTCCCATTCTGAACACTAACTTGAGCACTATATGTCATAGTTCCAGGTGAAGTAAAGTTCATAAGGGGTATCTCACACGGCTTTGCAGTCATCATTTTATGTACCAAATTATACTTCAACAACCAATTGAAGCGAGCATAAGAATTTTCCAGGTACAAATAATATGACAATTGACTTGGTATACTTGTTAAAAGAAAGAAAGAGAGAAATAATAATAACAATATCTGTACCTGACTCAGAAGTTTTGGCTTATCATCTGATGAAAAAGTAATTTCATGCATGGGCCTACACCAGTGAAAATTGCACAAAATGAGAATTTAAGCATCCAAATCCATATAATAATAAATTATTGCCTCACTCACATATGGGGAAACCAGTTGATAAATAAGAGTGATACTTTTATTCAGATAAACAGCCAACCAATGCTAAGCATGTAAATATTACATAACACAATCAGAACTGAACATTAATATCATTGACAAAAATGGCAGTAAAAATTTGGGAATGAACCTTAAGCTACATATAAAGAATAAAACGAAATAATTCACTTTTTACTACCTTCAGATGTTCCTATACTGTGAATGAACTTAATCAATCACTTTTTGGCAAAAAATTGGATCTGTCAACCATTCACTGTGATAATTTAGCAAATTAAAGGTTAACCTTAAAAACAACAGGTGAACAAACTAGTTGGTAACCATGATCATGAACCAAGAGCTGTAAACAGGATGATTGAGGTCAAGGGGATACAAATGGCTGAAAGAATACGAATGACTGAAGAACCAGATTAGGAAACAGGCAAACTAAAACCTATTTCAACCAGAAATTTATCAAAAGACAGACTCAGATCAAAGTATTTACCGAGAATATTGTGCATTGGCATGTACAGAATTATCCCCATCCATATCTTCAGATTTATTTGCTTCAATTGCCAGTGCTTCAAGATTAGGTGATGAACCGAAAGCAGGTGGTGGATGTATGCTGGAAGTTGATAAGCCAGCAAGAGATGTCAGCATTATTAATGGGGCACAAAATAAACAACAGTCCCGAATCCAATACTTAGATTCTAAAGCCACACCTTTGTCTTGGTGAACCCTGGGCAGCTACTTCCCTCGGAGAGGCTGGAACAACAGAATCAGCTGCATTTCGATCATGCGTTGGAGGAACCTGCACAAAAGATCAATTGCCAAATTCCATTCCTACTTTAAAAAATTAAAATACATCAGCATAATAAGAACACCTACATAAACTAAGGTTTAAATTTTAGTTCCCAGGAAAATCATTTAAGTATTCAATTACACTTCAATTCAAACTCAGAACTTAATTAAGTCCGCATTGGTCACCAATGGACATCAACTAGAGAAGCTAAAAATCAACACAATGTGCTTGAACTCATGCAAATCATGACAGCAACTGAGGTTAAACAAAAAAAGGTGACACGGATCTGCCATGCAATAAAGTGAAGCGCACAGTTTGAAACTTAATAAAAGATATAAATTTCAGAACTGGTATTAAACTGTAGGGCCTGAAAAATCAAAACTTTATCAACGAGAAAACAACACCACATGACTTTGAAAATTATAACCATTAAGAATCATTCCTTTGGCCTCCAATTCAAGTGATGTATACATGCTTAGTTTGATTGAAACCTAAGAAATCAACAGACCTGCACAAGTCGGACCTCAATTGCGGGTCGGTTATCCGGATCATGAGCCAAATGTAGTAATCTCTTGTGCATCAGAACATCTTCAGCTCTCTCCACATTCACATCCAATGCATATCTACAAAAAACAATTCCAAACTCTTTTTTCAAAAAAAAAAAAAAAAATCATAACAATTAAATTCTCTACATATTTCTAAAAAAAACGAAAAAAAAGTCTGATCTTTCTAGTCCGTACGTATAAAAATACGCAAATACGCTCGTAGGTGTACGGAATGCACGGAAGAGAAGAAAAAGGTAAAGGTTACCGAGTAGGGAGACGATTGAAGTGAGTCCAGAGTTCGTCGTCGAAGCAAGGCTGATTCGCTTCTTCGTTGTTCGATTGTTTAAGGCGACGAAGTACCTCATTGTAGACCTCGAGTTTCTGTCTCTGTTGCCTGCTCTGCGCCGGCGGAGACGACGAAGATGACGTGTCACTCGCCCGGCTGCCGCAGCTCTCGTTTGTTTCCTCTATCACCATTGATTCGATAACGATATCAACACCACCAGCAGAGTTTCGTCGAACGCAAACGCAACGAAACGGAGAGAAATTTTTCTTTAGGTTAAAAAAAAAGTTAATAAAATTAAATAAAAATTAGAATTAAAAGCAAGTTTTTTGATTCCTTTTTTGGTTGCTTTGGGTGGTGGTTACGTGAACTGAGTTAGTTCGTTTATAGAGAAGCAGATTTGAAGAGAGACTTTTTTCTCGAATAAAATAAATAATAAATATTTATTTATTTATGTTTATATAAGAGTTGAGGATTTTTATTTTTATTTGTGCCTTTTTCGTTTCGCGGAATGTTTAACGGCGTAATGCGCACCACTGGAACATGCCGTTCCTTTGGCTTTTTTTTTTTTTTTTAATTTATTATTATATGGCAATTGGTGAGGCCATCTGAAGGATAATGGAGGAGCGGAGCAGGTAATAAAAGGAAGATTAATGAAGATGAAGGAGTAATCTTTTAATTAGATTATCCCTAAGAATCAGTGATGGCATTGGCACCAATGAACGCCAAAACTCCACTGTACAGTCTCGCGTTATCAAAAGTAGGACCAAACCAAGTGACATTTCTTAGCGCCCACGGGGCCACTGCTTTGGATAAGCTCAAATCCAAAAAGACGATTTTAACCCTCCTTGCTTAACCAGTTGATCTAAAACAGATTTTGGGTCATTCTTTAATTACTAATTTTATAGTTAGTAGTAGGCCTTCACACTTCTCTACTTTATAAGGGAGTAAACAACTTTTTCCCACCCATCGGTTGTCTTAATGACAACTTTCCATCAAAAATTACAAAATATCACTTCTCCATCTAAAGTTAATATTCCGCTACTACTCAAAATCAATTCCAACAGAGAAAATTCTCTCCGTCGCTATCATTTAAACATATGGTCTCTGCTCTACAGAACTCCTCTCACTCTGATACCTGATTTTTCGTTGATTACTAACCATCGCAAAACTAAGGTTCCTATTCTTAGTTGATTTCCGACTAATTTCAACGTTGAATATTCAATTGGTGATCACTATTCTATCCATCGGCCTCTACTCTACAAGATCTCTTCTATCTCAGCTCCTGGTAACTTGTCAAACGCCAACCGAGAAAGTGAAGTATATTTTGAATACTAACATAATAAAAACTTTGGGTGGAAAAGTAGTATTTTGAAACTTTTTGGGTGGAAAAAGTCATTGAGGCAAAACTTGGGTTGGAAAACGTGGTTTACACTTCGTAAGGTCAAAGATAGTAGTGCCTAAACTTAACCTACCCTATTCTTGTAACTCTAGTTATAATTAATAAAACTAAAAGTGGATGTAAGTTAGAGATATTTTTGGCATCGAATTTTACAAAATAAAAGTTCTTTTATGATTTTTGTGAATAAGTTTTGTTATTTTTTTATAATATCGAAAATAATTAAAAAATGAGAAAATAATAATGTGTTAATATATTTATTTGAAATTACGCTTGTCCCATGGCTTACAAGTGATAAAATGAAATATAGAAAACGAGTTTATAAGTGAACAAAGATAAAAATGACGTAATTAAAATATAAAAAATAGTTTTAAGTATTCAATGTTTTTAAAAAGATTCCGCAGATATTTTTTTTCAAAAAGTACTAGTGACCAAATACATTCACGATAAGAATCTCCTGAAAAAACAGCTTTTATTGATGATAATTTGACAAAGAAAAAAAAAAAGTGATGTATAAAGAGTGTTGTTGAAAGAAAACCGTCGATAATGAATAAGAGTGGGATCATGAGGTTAGTGTGAAATTTAGAGGGGAAAGGGAGAGAAAAGCATGGGGGAAAGTTGAAATTGATAGATGATGGGCAAAGGAGACCCTATACGGCAAAGTGTTTTAATTTGTTGATGCTAGCTTGTAAGGTGGAGAATGAACAAGAGCGATAAGAACATGATGTAACATTAATTGTTTTTTGCACTGTAATTGTAAGGTGTTGAGAAAAAATAAAAATGTGACATTTTAATTTCCATAATGTTTGGATTCCCACCCCAATTGAGGAAAAAAAATGAAAAATCAGAGTCACTATCATTTTGCCACTTGGCTTCATCTTCTTCTTCTTAACCTTACCTCTTTCATTAGTGTTGCTGCGACCACGTATATTTTTGGATTCAAACTTTTTATTCTCTGAAAAGTAAAACATCATACACTACACGGAACAAGAAAATATTCATGTGTTAATGGTGGAACCTTTCTATAGTTATAATGATAGGACCAAACTAATTTTATTATTATGAGGAGGTTATAACCTCATAGAGGTAAAGTTACCAAAATTATTGTTTTCATTTAATTATCTTAGTGCATATTTTACATTTTTTTATGTTTGATTTTGATACTAATGACCTCGCATATGCAAAGTGCTAAATATATCTCAGAAATTACATGTGATTGATTGTAAGAGTTGTATATGGAGCAGAGATGATATATGTTTATAGAAACATAAATAAAATACTGATAAGAGGCATTTTTGTAATGGTTCGAATGTTTAAAGCAATCCTACATACACTGTTATTTTATTATTCTCTGACTATTTTTCTGATATTGTCTATAAGACATACAAAAATAGATAAATGTTTTGTTTACAGAGAAAAAATAATAAAACTCAAACATTTGTCTAGCTTTCATATGCCTAGCCAACCCCTTTTTCATAAAGAAAGATGCTCATTTATACACTTTTGAACTCAACGTAATGAATGTTTTTGCAAATTGCCTTGACACATAAAGAGTTCTCATTCATCCTGATTTTTAATTTTGATAAAGGTGGGACATATATTATATAATATCTCTTTGAGGCGGTTTGAGTTTTGGTAGCTAATATACTTTGTCTTTTAAGTAGTGCTTACATCAGTGTGATAACATACCTCTATACCACTTGCGCTACATTAATAGTTAATCAATAGAGCATGTCAAATCTAAGGTATAGACATTGATAAAAGAGATAGACATAGTTTTATGCCTAGAAGCTCTAAACATGCTTAAGTGCTTATAAATACTTTGGCTTCAATCAAAAAGTGTTCATGTTGGCGAGTTATTACATACCTGTAACTTAGATAAATATTTTAATTTATCTTAAACCTTTAATATAATGTAATATATTTTTTTTACAATATACAGATAATTATTACTATGTAGAAAATCTAGAGACAAGTTTCTTAAGACGAGACTTAAAAAAATTATAACTTATTATAAAGTGAAGTTTATTCGGACAAAAAAATTTTATGACTACACGAAGGTTATTTCTATATTTGGTATCATTATATAAAGATTCTATTGTAATTTATTACTTAATTTTAAGTAATATTCGGAGAATATGTTTTCACAAATAAATGGTTAAATTAGTAACTAAATATAGTTGAAAGTTTGAAGGTATGATAAATTTTAAAAAATGGTATAAGCTAACGGAAGATACCTAGATGCTCACAAGATAAACATGCAAAAATAATAGATTAGTAAACTAATCCCTAAAAAGCAGTGTAATTAATTGAATTAAACAAGGCATAAATAATAGCTAGATCTGACAACATTGTGTCGTTAGGAGTAACGGTGTAACGGCTTCTATATTCCGCAAAGAGAATTGTTTTTAACTGGCCAATAAACGGAAGTCCTGATACACGGGATTCGGGATTAACTTAGTTAAATAAATAAATAAACAATTAAGTCACGTAATTCGGGATTAGATTAGACTTTAGTTAATTACAAAATTAAGCGTCACATGATGCTGGGATGGAAGAAAGGAAGAGGAGACCCGGCTCCGTATTTATGACGTGTCGAGCGGAGAAGGAGTGAGAAAGAAGTTGACCCAAAGTAGCAAGCAGAGGATTCGCATCCTTAAAAGGAATAAACCACACTTGGTTTTAGTTTTAGATTGAGTGGCCTGAGCGGTGGGTGAGGTGGAGCTAATCCAAAATGATTGACATGGCTTGCACGTGGATAGATATGGGTGGATGACGTGGCAAACTGGCCTTTCGATGTGTCTAAAAGGCGGGTGAGGATAAGTTTGTTTTAGGCGGACATTGCCAGTGAAGCGGTGGATGGTCGCCGCTGGAATAGCCGGTGAGAATTAGTATTAAGTAAAGTACATTTTTTAGTCCATGCCCATGTTTTTAGGCAGTAATTTATATTATTAAATCTTATCCACAATCTTTTTTTTTTTATTTAAATTTTTTGTTTAGAAGATTTAGGTGGCTTAGCATTTTCTTAAATTTCTCAAAATCCGTTTGCAATAGTACCATTTTTATATAATTTATATGACACTATATTAAATATTATAATAATTTAACAAACCAAAATATTTTAAGTGTTTTTATTTATTTAAAATGCAGGTTTTTGAAAATGGGATTTGTTTATAATAAATTTAAAATTAAAAAAAAAAAATTGAGCCACGTTGGTTAAATTGGTCAAAAGATTGGGGGGCGGGGGGGGGGGGGGGGGGGGGGGAACAAGGAAAGAAGGCATGAGTGGAAGGCCCAGTGGCCAGTGGGGGTGGCATATGACCATGTGGGTGAGTCACGGTCGGGTCAAATACCAACGTGGAGAGTGGAGATTCAACTAGACAAGAATCAGCGGTTCCTTCTTACCTAACTCCTAGGAGGCTCAACGACTGTGGGGTCTATGATGAGGAGGCGGTGAGCTGGCGGAGAGTTGTCAGATAAAACTTTAGAGAAAATAACTTGTCAACCATCAAATCTGACTGATTCTGGAAAAGCCTTTGCTTGTAAGAAAAAATAGTAAACCAAATACCAAAGTTTCAATTTGGTTTTGAATTCCTATAGTTTCCTCGTACACATGCCAATTATGTTACATAAACCATTATTTTAATAATTTTATTATATCTAATAATATTTAAATATAATTCTCATAAAACATATTTAACAACGTTTTTATTAGAAAATTATTATATTTACAGAATTAAAGATAATTTTTTATTGAAGGATACATATTATCAATCACGTTACTTATATATTTATCATAATAAAAAAATTATGATAAATTCTTGCAACACACATAGGATGTTCATTGAATCAAGACGATTTTAGAATACATTGAATGTGGACATGAAATTTTCTTGGCCGATGCTATAATGTTTGTTTAATGTTTACATAAATAATACTATACTAATAACTCCCTCTCATAAATTTTCTCTCACAACCCTAACGTAATAGCTTGCAATTGGTCAGTTCACAACAGGTCTC